TAAGGAGGCAACAAAGGCTTAGCCTAACATGGGCTTTGAGTAACTCAGGATATAACTTGCTGCATGAAACTAAGGAAACTTAGGTAGAATTTCCCCTGACATCACAGTCACATTATAATTATTTACTTTGCTTTCTTGAAGACCTTGTGACTGACGATCTAGATGTTTGCTTTGTTTAGCTTTCTTCAATGGCACTGAAATTTCTTCCATGCTTCTCTTTAACTTGATTTTTTCGCATTTTCTGGGGTCATACCCGATTTTTAGAGATTTATCAAATTTATACATCTCTTGACACGTTCTTGGTCATCTATTTCTATTGCATCAGCTATATCATTCATAATCCTATTCAAATCTTTCAAAACAGGATCCTCTAAGGGTTTTTCTCCATGGATTACAATATTCACCAAGTCCATCAATTTGGTCAGTTGTTCCTTTGAATCATCCTGGAACTTTTTTACTTGATCAGTCATCTCTTGTTGTGTCTCGATAAATTGCTCTTGCAGTTTCTCGATTCTACCAACCCTTGCTAAAATCTCATTCATGGCTATTTATCCTTCTTTAGGAAGACCAAGTTAGCTCCACTTTGATTTCAAAAATTATGTCATGGAATTCTCCACGAATTATTCCAGTTGTCATGATTAAATGCATGTAAAATAGTTTAAATAAAATTTAATTATACAAATATGTAAATGCAAAAATGAAAATATAAATACAAACGTAAAAAAGAAAAAATACAAAATGCAAATGCAAATGTAAATATGTGAATGTAACAATAAAAATGCAAATTGTGCAATACAAAAGCAAACGTAAAAGTATAAATGAAAATGCAAAGATGCAAAATGCAAATGCATGTATGAAAAAGTGTTACTCAAGAGTGATCATCTTAGAACAGATTTCAGTCTTAACTTCAACAACACTTTACCTATATGGGAATACTTTCCCATTTTCTTTTCTAAAGCCAAGTTAGTCTATCAGTTTATGGGTCATATTGCTTGTCTGGACTGCAGCTTCTTCCATGACATTCTCTTTTTCCTTCAACTTCTGTGTCACTTCTCGAAGTTTCTTATTTTCCCTTGTAAGAGAACCTTTATGTTCAAGAAGTTCTTGGACAAGATATTCATATATGTTGCAGTTCTTCTTCAATTTGGTGACCCCTGTTATCCACTCTTCTGGGATGTTTCCTAGGCCAGCATTTTGAAAGACTTGACTGATCCTTTGAAAATCTTCATGCATGGTTTCCACTTCTGTGCTTAATTTCTTGTTTTGATCTTTCAAATAACATGCTTGAGCTTTATAAAAACCGCCTTTATTCTGAATGCCCTGACTGATAATGCCCTGACTGATACTCTTGTTGTATAATGCTTTTGGTATCAATCTAACAAGATCTTTATGGAATACTTTTTGTATTAATATAACATGATCTCTGTGTGCATTGCTTACTTCTATCCTCGGAGTTTCCTCAGGATGTCTTTCCTTGGCCGCATCATATTTTGTTTGATCATAAAACGTTTTGTCCATTTATGATTTCTTTCCAATTTGATGAACAATCTTTCAAGTCAACACCTTTTGGTTATGCTATGATCATGCAATGCAGATAAAAGAAATCAATATAAACAAATTAAAGCAATGTAACATGCATGGGAAAGAATAAGAAAAATAAAATGGTTAGTACCACTAATGGAAAGAAAAAAATTCTATTTACCAAGGTATAAATCCTAACCTCATGCTTTCTAGTTCCATGCTTTGTTTGGAAAAATTAATCTAACTGCATGATTTCTAGTTCGCATGTATTTATTCAGGAAAAAGAAAAGAAAATAAAATAAATTAAAAGCTAAAGCTTATTTCTCCTTTGTGTAAACCTACGGATAGAGGTTCAGTACTGTCTTAGATCAGGAGAATTTCTAAGGTTTATTATATGCAGGTTTTCGGTTCTAAGAGTAAAGGTATTCGAATTGTCCTTGTTAGTGCCCCTTGGGCTGCTAACCCTCAATCCTAGTCCACTACAGACTTAAGCGGATCGAGTTCAATTCGAGGGGACACATTTCTCTATGCCTGACACGAAGAATAAATTCTCACGAAGACAGAGCATATGAACCCCGAAAGCTACTTGCTAGGTCTAACACGGAGAATAAATTCTCACGAAGACGTCGCTTTCACTCTCATTTAAAAGGGACAAGCTTGATTATAAAGCTTATGTTATGAAATGCATATGTTGTGTGTGAGGAGAAATATTCAAACCTTTGACAAATAAATAAAAAATGAAATTTAATAACTGAAAATAAAATAAAAACAATTAATAAAGAAGAATATAAAAGTATTATGAAAACCATAAGTAATACAAATTTTGAAAGAAAAGAATTATAAATTAAATACATATGAATTTTTAATTTATAATTTATAAAGACAATTTATAATTTATTTCAAAGCTTGACTAGTCCCCAGCGGAGTCGCCAAGCTGTCGTAATCTGTTTTTGCCCGGGCACGAATTTTTTACTTGGCGGGAAAACTAAAATGAATAAATAAATGATTTTGAAAAAAATATTTTTGGAGTCGCCATTGACCTTTTTGGGTTAGGTAGGTTAAATACCTAAAAATAATCTTTTAAAATAGTTTTTAAGAAAACATAATTTAAAAGATAAACTGATCTACGTATAACCAAAAATATTTTTAGTAAAGAAGGGATTCGTGGTCGATTACGTTTAGGGAAGGATTAGCACCCCTATAACACCCAAAATTGGTACTCATTAATTATAAATTGTCTCTATTATTGGAAATTTAAAAATTCAAAAATATATTTAATTCATAATCCTGTTATTTTAAATTTATTAATATAATTTTAAGAAAATATACATCTTTATTTTTATAAATAAGATATTTATTTACTTAGAAATATCATAAAAGGGCTTCTAGGTGCTTTAAGACAGCTCATTTCTTAATATATTAATAAAACATTTTTTAAAAATAATTAAAATAAATTAATATATACTATTTATGAAAATAAGATATTTATTTATTTAAGAATATCAGAAAAGGACTTCTAGGTGCTTTAAGACAACCCATTTCTTAATATATTAATAAAATATTTTTCTAAAAATAATTAAAATAAATTAATATATATGATTTATGAAAATAAGATATTTATTTATTTAAGAATATCAGAAAAGGACTTCTAGGTGCTTTAAGACAGCCTATTTCTTAATATTAAAAAAATAAATATTAAAATATGATTATTTTCTTAAAAGTAATTTATATAAAATTAAATTTATAAATAGGATTTTTATTTAAATAAAAAAATAAGTAAATAAATATTATTTATTATATATGTTTATATGACTACATAATAATAAGAACAATAATAATTAAAATATAAATAAACAATGACTAAAATAAATAAAGTTGAAACTAGGGTCTTAAAATATAAAAAATAATAATTTAAATAAATTAAATTTAGGGATTAAATTATAACTTATTAAAATTAAATGGTCTAATTCGTAATATTATGAAATATAATAATTAACAGTGTCATTTAGCCTTAATTATTTAATTAATGATCAAAATAAAAATTATTAAAGCTTAAGGGACTAAATAGGGTATTTTATACTAAATATATATATACATATATAAGCTGTGATTAAATTATAATAAAATAGAATTAGAAAAACGAATTAAAGGCTCATAAATTGATATTAGTGACCATAATGTAAATTTATAAAACTTGAATGACTACGAAAAGGGTTTTACTCGTATGTAAAATTACGCAGGGATCCCTCCCCAAAACGACGTCGTTTGGGGAGGGATTTATATATCCCCTAAATCGGCCATTTTAGGCCTAAACATTCATTTTTTTCTTTTTTTCTTTCTCTCTCTACCTTCTCTCTACACCGGAGGGAGTCCGGTCTCCAGCCGACAGCCGTGCTCCGGCTGATCGCCGCCGTCGGCCACCGTGAACGGTGGCCGGAAACTACAAAACCCACCCCAAATCGAAGCCCCTATTTTTCTATACCCGAATCTAAGGTTGTTTTAACTTAAAACCTTATCAATCGTCGTAGATCTAGGATAGTTCCCTTCGACGTTTCGGTTCTCCGGTGGCTCGTAGAGGCTCCTCTTTGGTAAGTTTCTTTCCCGTTTCTTCTCTATTTCTTTTCTGGTTGCTGTTGTGGTTGTTTTTCTCTCTTTTATCGATTGTTTGCTATGGTTTGGTCTTTGTCTGTTGTTGGTTGCTCTTTGTCGTTTGTTTTTTGCTCTTTGTCGTTTGTTTTCCTTGGTTATTGTTGCCTCTGTTTCCTGTCGTTGCTCTCTGTCGTCTCCTTTTTTTCATTTTGCAGGTGCGATGGCTTTTATAGCCATGGAGGTACACCCTTCGGACCGGTTCTAGTGATGGTTGCCTAGGTGAGTCACCATAGCTATGGTGGTGACTCACCATAGGGCTTCGACGTGGGCTGCCATCTGGTGTTCTGGAATCTACGGCGACGAGGTGGCGTGGCCAAAGGAGTCGGTCGTGGTGGTGGCAGCAAGGAGGCACCTGGCAGATGCGGCGGCTGGCCTTCTGGAAACATCAGAGGCAGCTGGGGCTAGGGTTAGAAAACCCTAGCTAAAATGTGTAAACCCTAATTGGGTTTTGGGTCTATTGGGCTTCTGTTGGGCCATCCGGGCCTCGTTATAAATAAATTTTTTATTAATAATAATAATAATATAATAATAATATAAATAAAATAATAATACTAATATTAATATTAAAAATAAAAAAACAAATGGATAAAAATTAGTATCTTCAACACCTATTTCAAAACAATAAACGGTTGATGTAAGTGTCCCTCCAACTCCAAGGGTCCTCTAAATACATGATAAAACTTGGAATGAAATGAACATATGCGTGCAGGGTACAAAACCCCAAATAATATAGCTTAAAACTAACTAATGACGGAATGTCCTTATTAGCTTAACGATAAGCTTGTGTTCAGACGAATTTGAAAATGCAACAAGAAGCATGCAAATGATAAACATGAGTGAGATGCTGAATAGGCGATCACTAACCAGAAGACTGTCCTCCAGATTGCACATTAGCATTCTTCTCTGTTGTTCCAGATGTCACCTGAAGAATCAGGCAATAGATCAGTGCCAACAATATGTGTGTGTTTATATTGTTTGGAGCAGATAACAAAACAAGAAGACTTACAGAAGCTTCTGAGCTCGATGCTTGCTTTGCATGCCTTTCTTCGTTGAGGAAGCGAGAAGGGATGTCCTTTTCTGAGAAGAGTAAAATAATTGGTTAATTTCCATTATAAGAAAAGAAATTCAGTAGCAGGAAGCCTGAAAAATGATTAACATCAAAGACCACTGGTAATCAGAAACTTAGCGACACTTGTGCAATTACAGATTAAAGTTACCAACCTTGCAAAAACGGTACGGAAACTTCTCCTCCTCCGACTCTAAGAACATTATCCTTCAAGTCAATAATACACTGTACAAATATAGGCAATAAGGATTATGCAAAGTTAGTGTAAAGTACAAAAATGGAGGTACATGTCAGATATTAAATAGATATGCTACCTGGTGCTTACGGAGCATATCCAACCCGAAGAGGAACTCCATATTCGGAGAGTCCAAAACCAAGAAGGAGCAAGGATAAAATATCTCTCTTCAATCTACAATAACATGAGAAACCAAGAAGTTAAACGGAACATTAAGCATGACAAGTGTATGGTTGTATCATCTACTATTAGCATGCCAGTAAAAGAATGGTCATATAAAAGCAACAAAAACTCAAAAAAAAGATTACACATCGTGTTTTATGCTAGAAAACCAATAGACAACCTTGATCGGAGCAACATGTATCTGTCCTAGTATCTCCGATTGGCCACTCCATGAGCAATACCTCTATATCTTTGATAAAAGCCTCAGCAATCTGAAGGAGAGAACAAGCAAAGCACGTGCCATCATCGATTCTAAAGTCTGAAGTGACAACTATAATTGCAATGATTTAAGGAAACATTTAGTCAACATTATTGCTATTTTTAAGAAGCAATAAAACGCACCTTCTCCATGTAAGAGAGAAATATTTCTATGACTAGCAAAAGGAACTTCCTAGATAACAAAAAAGGAAAATAGTTTGAAGTACCTGTGCACCACTATCGACAAATGCCTAAAGGAAAATTATAAAGCAACAGATTTAACAAACTTATCAGAGTACAATATTCAAACGGTATAATAAACCTTACAGGGTACTATTAAAATATTGCATAAAATCAACTAAAACATTATGGTAAACTGCAAAAGAAACGAAAATTAAGATCATAATACAGTGACCCTTGTGAAATATACATGTTATATTTAGGACTTGCCATTATATTTACCTTCAATGGGACACCGTTAACCTCCACACCCACGTACAAAATAACCTGATTAGAACGAAAAGAAACATTATATTCTAAAGTGGAAGAAAGCTATAAATTTTAATAGGTACACTTCACAAGGGAAGCAAGACTACATACCACCCTTGCAAAGCCTTCGGGATCATACTCTAAGGAAGCAGCCCAGTTCTCATCAATCACTTTCTGCATCACGATATTGTAAGATGTTAGCCAAAATATCATATCATCCAGAAAGAAAATAAGTATGGAAATACCACAACCCTTTGTCAAACCATAAACTAACTATTACATATTTCAAATTAAATTACGTTTCAATTAAGTCAGATATATAGAATGTTATGGAAAACTAACCTGCCGAATGGCAGCTTCAATTTTCTTTTGTGCTTCAACATCAAAAGGATCAGCCTGAAGAAGAGCCTATGGAGCAAGATTAAATAAATGTGTATCAATCAAAGACATGATCGGGAAAATATGATTTTATCACAAGTATGATCAAGCTTTAGTATTTTGAAAGTTCTGTGTACATTTTTTTATCAAATTATGATACATTCACCACTGGTTCACAACCAACTATAGGCGTAAACAACTAGGATAGGTTACTTACAAGCTCCTCCTCTTTTCGTCGCAATTCAAATCTTCGTTGATTACGAGCTCATAGAATCTCCTGCAGTTTGTTGAGGTCATTTCCAACAACAGCTTGGGCAAGCTCAGGATCGGTCTGAAATAGTTGTCCAATTAGATTAGAATCTCGTCGAATATGTTGTTAGAAAGTTGCAGGGTTCACAGCAGAACCATCGGGATTGAAGCTCAAGTCATTGTCAGATGCTCTGCAATGAATCATACATTACACATCCGTGTTAAAATCTCGTAACAAGCATCCAATTCAGGTCAACAATACTACAACATATAAGATTAAAAGAAAGCAACCCTAAACCAGATATGTGTTGGAATGGTAATTTGCACACTGTAATACCGCATAACTTGTATATATTTACTGTTGAGATATGTACTGGTTTATACACAAGCATGAACAACATATAGGCAGTTAACTCTAACTGCATTGCTAACTAACAGCTGATTCATTCAGCTAATGCCACGTGCATGGCTTAGTTACAAGTTTGTTATGATCAGCTGCATACTCATATTCATCATTTACATTAGACTGTTAACATTTTCCCTGCTTCTTCTTGTTTCCTTTGTTCAAAGGAATGCACGCATACTTTTGATCTAAACTCCTCAAACGCAACTCGAGCTAATGGTTTAGTGAATCCATCAGCAATTTGATGCATTACAGGGACATAGCTAACTCGCAATTGACCAGCTGCCACCTTTTCCCAAACAAAGTGCACGTCAAGGTCCACATGTTTGGACTGAGCATGGTAAACTGGATTGGCACTCATAGCCACTGTGCTGGTATTGTCACACCATATAATCGGTTCACGACATTGTTGAATACCAAGGTAGTTAGGAGAGCATTTATCCAAGCTATGTCAGCAGTTGCATCTGCTACACTCTTGTATTCAGCATCCATTGTCGATCGAGAGACAGTCTTTTGTTTCTTTGAGCACCATGTAACAAAGCATTTTCCCAAGAACACACCATATCCAGTTATGGATCTTCGATCATCAACGCTAGCTCCCCAATCAACATCGGCAAAGGAAACTATATTTAGTCCACTATCGACAGGTGAAAAGACTAGGCTAAAGTTTAGGGTTGCACGTAAATAACGAAGTATTCTTTTAACGGCAACAAAGTGAGCTTCACGTGGAGCGTGCATGTATTGTGCAACTTGTGCCACCCTACACGATATGTCTGGTCTAGTGTGACAGACATACAATAATGAGCCTACAACACTCCTGTAATTGTCATGTAAAACTCAAGGAAAGCCTGCTACAACTTGGGTTCACAGTGTCTCGAGCAGACCCTTCATTGTTTATTAAACAATCATGCAATGAATACATGTATGTACTAGTGTATGTAGACGATATAGTTATGACAGACCAGACACAAAAGTATGTTGCTCATGAGAGGCTTGCCATTCTCATCAAGTTGCTCAAATCCAGGAGGTTGTTGCATGAAACGTCTTCATTTAAATCTCTATACAGGAATGCATTGTTTATATCAATGTGTCGAAGCTCCCAGCCCTTAGAAACAGCAATCGATAGAACAATGTTGAATGTAGAAAAATGAACTACTGGACTAAACGTGTCTCCAAAATCAAAACCATGTGTTTGAGAAAAGCCTTTAGTGACTAAACGAGCTTTATATTGAAGTACAATCCCATCCGGATTTCTTTTGATTCCAAATATCCATTTGCATCCAACTGTGGTTCTTTCTTTTGGGAGTTTCATTAACGAAAAGGTGCCATTCTTCTATAGGGCATTGTACTCTTCGTGTACAGCAGTAGACCAATGTGGTGACTCTAGTGTTGCATTTATTGTAGCTGGGACATCCTCCTCTTCAGCAGTCAAAAATATTTTGGGTTTAAAAATTCCACATCATGGGATGAACACGCACTGAAGGTCCCGTAGTACTGGAATCAGGAACAATGTCTCGATGATGATCATCAGCATCAGGTTTAGTTGGATTGCTGCACGCATCTATTACTGGCGCGATACTTCCAGATTCTGCAGCAGCACTAGTACTTTCATGAACATGATCGACTTCAGTGTGACTTGTACCAATATTGATTTCATTAGAGTCTATAGGTACAACACTTCCTGATGCAGCATCGCTTGAATCAAAACCGAGTCCATCATTTGTAGTAGGTTGTTCAACAATGGATGACATATTTCAAGCAACAACTCGTAATGGTTCGGAGGGCCAACGTACTGATTTTGTAGATTCAAACGATTTCAAGGATTCACAAGCTTCTTGACCTACAAAAGGGAAAATAAACTCATTAAATACAACGTGCCTAGAAATATAAAGTTTCCCATCTGATGCCAAGCATTGGAATCCTTTATGTCGAGGACTGATGCCCAGATAGGTGCAGGCTTGAGACCTAAATGTGAGTTGTGCTTCTGAAATAGTCTCAGATGGGGAAAACATTGGCAACCGAAGACCCTCATCATAGTGTAGTCTGATTTCTTGCCATAAAGTTTCTCGAAAGGAGATACACCTTGTAATACTGTAGTAGGGAGGCGATTGATCAAGTACACTGCTGAAACAACAACATATGACCAGTATTTGACTGGAAAATATGCTTGAGCTAATAAAACAAGTGCTAGCTCAATAACATGGCGATGTTTTAGTTTGACAACCTCATTCGGTTCAGACGTGTGGGGGCATGTTAATCGATGTGAGATTTCTTCACTGGCTAACATAGGTGATAAGGTGCGAAATTCGCCTCCCCAGTCAGTTTGTAAGGCTTTAATGGAGCTGCCAAACTGATTTGCCACAAGTTTTTGAAACATACGAAATGCCAGCACAGCTTCATCTTTCATTTTTAACAGATATATCTAGGTATGTCTTGTAAAGGCATCTACAAATGAGACATAGAAGCGAAATCTATTCGATGTCACATGAGGTGGCCCCCATAAATCAGAGTACACAAGATTGAAAGAAGAATTAACCGATGTATTCGACTCAACAAAGGGCAGTCTATGACTTTTTCCCATATGACATGCTACACAAGTCTTATTTACATTAGTATGGACTTTGATGCCTATTTCTTTAGCTATCTTCATTATTGTTTCAGTAGCTGGGTGACCAAGGTGCCTGTGCCAAAGATCTTCTAAAGAGCAAGAGATTGAACTAGTGTTGGCTTCAGCAAGATTCACTCCTAAGGAGTTGTTAGTCATGGCAAACGAGAATAGGCCTTCATGGTCCTCACCCTCAAGTAGAACATTTCTGGTTTTCTCATCTTGGACATAGCATCTATTTGCATGAAACTCTAGAAAAACGTTGTTGTCCCTAGCAAGCTTGGACACAGGTAGTAGGTTCTTGGTTATTTGAGGAACAAGCAGCAAATTATTCAGCAAAAGTATGCGTGAATTAGCACAAATATGAGAGTGACCAGTAGAAATTACATCAAGTGGCATGCCATTGCCAACTAGAAGTTTACCTGGGCCAAGAAATTCAATTGCATTTAATACTTTGTTGGAGTCTGAGGTGACATGGTGCGTAGCACCAGTATCTACAATCCACCGATCAGAGGACATGGAAGATGTATGAGCTTGTGGTTGGCCAGCCACAGTTAAACCGGACTTATGCTTTGCACATCACTCACACCAGTATCAGAGGATAATAATGTGGAGTTGTAAGTAAAGGAAGCTGACTTATGATCCGAGTGATTGGATCCTTGATCAGTAGTAACACAAGAAAATTCTCATCAAATCTATGCCAGCATCGATCGACAAGGTGGTCGATTTTCCCACAAAGTTGGCATTGCAGTCTTAACCTACCATGACCCCTGCCACCAGTTCGAGTTCCTAGTCGATGATCATAGCCTGAACTTGATATCGCAGAATTTTGATTTTCCCCCTGGGCAACGTTGGCACTCATAGGTAAGGTCTCCAGCTGGTCATCAAAGCTTGCAAGTTGAGTCTCTGCATCAAGAAGCATTGTGTAGATGTTATCTAAGGATAGTGTTTCCCTCTTGGAGGTTATAACTGCCATGAAGGGTTGGTATTCCAGAGGGAGACCTTTCAAAATGTTTGCTATGTGTTCGACTTGAGGCACAACACTGCCACAAGAAGCTAAGGCATCGCAGACCTCCTTAACCCGAGTAAGATAAGTACGCATACTATCACCACCTTTCTTTAATGATTGAAGCTTGTAATGGAGACTCATTACTGCAGTCGTGGATCGATTGGCAAAGAATTGAAGAATTGTGTTCCATACGGCTTCTGCAGTTGCAGCCCCAACAAATTGAGGAAGCAGATGATTGTTGATGGTGGATAACAACCATGAGGCAAGAGCACTATCTTGTGCAACAAAATCTTCATAGGCTTCATTGACTCGAGTAATGCCATCATCATCAACAATTGTTTCAGGTGGAGTTGTCACGACACCGGTAAGAAACCGTTCCAAACGGTGGCTCTGAATGGTGAGCAAAATCTGCTGCTTCCAAAGGATAAAATTCATCTCATCAAGAATGACATTTACTTTCTTGTGAGTGAACGATTTGATGTTGGCATTGAACTCCATCAAGAAGGGCTTTAAGCGGTGAAAGAAAGCGCCCCAAGATCTATGGCGAGAGATACCATGTTGGAATGGTAATTTGCACACTGTAAAACTGCAAAACTGTATATATTTTTTGCTGAGATATGTACTGGTTTATATACACAAACATGAACAACATATAGGCAGTTAACTTAACTGCATTGCTAACTAACTAATAGCTGATTCATTCAGCTAATGCCACGTGCATGGCTTAGTTACAAGTCTGTTATGATCAGCTGCACACTCATATTCATCATTTACATTAGACAGCTAACAATATGTAAACGAAATTACCTCGAGGCAGAACCAGAGACCATCATACTAGATCATCTTCCTAATGCACTCAACTTCTCGAAGTTGTTCATTTCCCTCCCATTAAACAAAAGTTGCTTCTGCTGTAATGGCACCATAGTCTGCCCATAAACCCCAAACAAACTTTAAACAATCAACATTAACATATCCCCACAGTCAACTCTCAAAACTAAAAGAAAACTTCTTTCAGAAAAAAGGACAAAAATTTAATATTATCAACTAAAACAAGCTAATGAATCTCAATAATCAACTTTCAAAAACCACATAAATCTAAGAAGAAAACGGCCTCGCTTATTAACATCAAAAGACCAAATAATTTAAAAAAGAAGCATGAAGATAAACGGGTACTAATATCTAACCTCAACTTCAAGCAAAGCTTTCAAATTTTCAACCTAACAGAAACAATGAAAGCATAAAATCAGTAAAAAAAAGATTAAAGATATAGAATAAGGATATAGACGGGATAAAAGGGTACTTAACAGTTTCATGAGGATCAACATCTAAGCTAAGGATCTGTTCATCTGCCGTCATTACAGTAATTCTCATCCTGGGGGTTGGCGTGAGATCGTCTCTGTCTCTTGTTGGTTGATGGGTTTAGATTCAATGAAAGTTTTTGAGGTTAATAATAAAATTATTTAGCACAAATATATAAAAAGAAAGGACTTTAACCTTGTTTCACTTTGACTTATATTTATGTTGATTCTTACTAGAGAATTTCGGTTGTGTCCAGGCTTTAACTTCATCTCCAAGTAGATAAACGAAGGTGCAAGTTATTTTCTACAGTACGAAGTAGAGTTAAGCGCTTACATGACATATTATTAGTGGTAATCTTTGTTAGCTATGTGATACTATTGGGGTGTTCAAAATGGGATATCAATATTTCTTTTTTAGGTTCCCAATTTTTCAAGTAGTATATTTGTCAATCCACGATTTATCACGTTTATTTGTATCTTATATTTGAGTATTTGTAAAATTTAGATATTCATATTTTCGAGTCACGGGTATCTAACTTATATATTTTTTATTTTTTTAATTTAAACTTTTAAAAAAATCATATGAAAATACATAAAAATTTAAAATTTCAAAATACACAATTCATACACAAAAATTAATGGTTTGAAGTTAGTTTTAAGGATAAATATTTGAATATATTTAGATATATATTAAAGTTTATTTTCAAAAAAAATATTAAAAATATTATTATCGATAGTGATTTTTTCGTTTCTATCTCATATTGACAAATTAATAAGAATTTAAAAAAATTAAAACTTAAAAGTACATAATACAAACTTAGAAAAAAATAGAGATTTAAATTTAGTTTTAAGGTAAAAATATTAAATAACCTAAAATAAAAAAGTAATTTAAACTATATATATATATATTAAAACTACTGAGTCATATATGTTCAAATCTGTAATATCCAAAAATTTAGATAATGACCAAAATGAAAATTTTGAAAGTTTGATGGTCAAAGTAGAAAATTGGGAAAAGATTAAGGAATTAAGTGGTAATTTTCCCAAAAATAATGTTATTCCATAAATGGATTTAGTGAATGACCAAATTATAAATTTTTAAAGTTTGGTGATCAAAGTATAAACAATAGAAAAGTTTAGGGACCAAGTGGTAATTTTAAAAAATTACCATTTACTTCGAAAATAAAAGAAAATATATTATATTTTACATTTTTAAATGTTGGAAAATAATATAAATATTTGGATTTTAAGATTTAATTTTATGTTTAATTTGGACAATTGGATTAAAGTGGCAAGATTGAGATTTTTGTTAAAAGGCAAGGCCAAATCGGTAAACTAAGATATTATTTGTTCATATTTGACTTATGGACGAGGATAAGGTTCAAGTGTCAAGATTTGGAAGATGATAAGGATAAGTATCTAGGTTTTATGGTAATTATTAAGTTTCATTAAGGGTATATTGGTATTTTCTCAATTTAATGAATTTAATATTCATTAAATGATTAATTCAAGGATGATAAGCATGATATCAATCTAAAATATCATGCCAAGATGTTCATCTTCTCTAGCAAATGACGTGAGATAGCTTCCAAGGTAAGAAAATATTTTATTTTCAATTTTTGAGCCAATTTCTTTGGAATTCGAGTTATGCCGTGAAATAGGAAAGTGATCTACGCGAAAAAAACACTATCATTTGGTACTAATATTTCTTTCTAATCTTGCTGGAATTCAAAGATCCCAAATCTAAGGGTTTATGTTCATGATAGGGTTCATGAAATTGATGATGAATATTGATGTTTTTGAGGTTGTAGATTCATTTTCAAGCTTGATTATGGTTATAACATGTTCAATCTTCCTAGAAATAATTCTATAAAATTCGGACAAATTATAAGTTGAAGAAACTTTGTGTTCTGATGATAGTTGATAAAGCATTTTATTTTAAAGATGTTATAAGGTTGATTGAAAGTTGATTTCATGCTTGAATCGAATCAAAATCGATGAAAACATAGTTTTAAAGGATAAAGAATTCGGTTATGATGTATTTGAGTGAGAAAAATTATGGAAAAATTATATAAGGTCTGGAAATTATGTAAGAAGTATTCTACAAGCCTTAGAAAAAGTCGGGAACCATTTTATAATTTTTGAAAAGTTGGGGGACCAATTTAGCAATTTTGGAAAGTTATGAATGGTTGTATAATTGTTTAATAGTTGATGTACTATGCTGGAAAATATTATTTTGGAATTTAAATAAGTGTTTAGATGTGAAATATGATTATTTTAGAAGTTTGGAAGTTTGAAAAGATTGGTGATTTAAGTACAACATTAACATAGTTGGGGTACTTAAATGTAATTATGCCTTTGTAAAAGCATTTGAATGGTAATAATTTCAATGCTGGAATTTTTGGTATTAAGAATCTAAGTGATAAAATGGTGAAGGACCATTTTGTGTAAATTGGAAAAGTTGGTTCCAATGTTAAAAGGAATTATTAAGTGTTAAGTAATTTGATAGAAAATGAGTTTCAAGTATATTATGGAGTTATTTTGGGATATGTTTATGTTAGTACAATACTAACATATGTATCATTATGAATTTGTGATTTATACAGATCGTGATTGATTTGTGATTGAAGCAAGTCAAGTATAAAAAGGGTTTATTGTGGAACATAGTGAGGCACATATTTTGGATATATAAAGTTTCAAGGTGAGTGAAATACATACATGACATGGTACATAGATGTTTAATACATCATGTACATAGATGTTTTATACATCACCGGGAAGACTTGCGACAAGTCTACCTTATTTATATCAGCATGATATTATGTCATTGTTATATCTTCGACATGACATTGATATGTCATAGTGTGAAATTATAATGCATTGATCATGGATAATGTGATATTTTACCATGAATGTTATTTCGGGTATGAATTGCCCAATGTTAAATTATGATAATATACTTTGCCATGGATGAATTGAATAAAATAGACTATATGCCCAAGTAAGTCATTGAGGGACAGGGTATAGTTGGCATGCCATAGAGTATAGCAGTTGCAGGTTTATAATACACTTCGGTGTATATGGTGGGCACAACCTTATGTGTAATACACTTCGGTGTATATGGTGGGCACGACCTTATGTGTAATACACTTCGGTGTATATGGTGGGAACAACCTTATGTGTAATACACTTCGGTGTTTATGGTGGGCACGACCTTATGTGTAGCACTACGGTGCAAATATTACTCGAATACCCAGGGTCCTCAGGGTTTTATAATGGGCTATTGTCTATGGTTTATGGTTTATTGGTTAATAAATGGTAAGCATGCAAATAGCCTTACGAGCTTATGAGATAAATGGAAAGTATATTGATAAGAAAATTTATATTCATTTATATTATTTTGATCATGGTAAAATATTGGATATACAGGTAACATGATCTTATGACAATTGTTTTATGACATTAAATTTCATGCATGAGTTGTATTGCACTGTTTATTGTTTTAATTGTCTCACTAAGTTTATACTTAGCATGTGATGATTTTCACGCGTAGGTAAAAAGCCAAGAATAGAGTAAAGAGTACAAGGCACTCCGAGCATCCAGGAATACACTACAATATTCGTAAGACATCCTATGATGGAATTTTGATTTTGTTAGTGGCATGTAATTATTAATGTCCTAATTGCTCTGTTAAATTATTTTGCAACTGGTTTGTAATGGTTAAACTAAACTGTTTTACTCTGTTTCAATATGGATATATAAATCCATATTAATATAGGTTTTAAATAGTATGTGATAAAATGATATGATATTTTTATATTATCAAATACCATTTTAAGGAAATAATTTTTAAATCACTTTTACTAAAAAAAATTACGTAAATTCAGGTGACATATATAATCTGTATATGTATAATTATACGGGTTATGAGTGTTACATTTATTGGCATCAGAGCTACAGGTTCAGCCTATTCTAGGACTAAACCGAGTTTGTTTTGAGTTAAAAAGTGTATACATGCCACTAGGATGTCAAAAGTTACTGATAGTTGTATATATATATATATGATGATGCTTATTGAGAGTAAAGTTACTCTTTACTAATGTATGATGATTCTGACTATGTTCAAATGTCAAAAATTAAAGACAAAGGTTAGAAAGTTGATAATATTGAAAAGAAAGTCGAGATTGAAGTCGACAAAAAGGAACTTGAGACGACTGTTGTAACACGCCTTAAAAGGGTGAGTACTGTTAGGGATTTTCCTCCATTTTGTGGAAGAAATGCTCCAACTTTCAACGAAGTTTCTGAATTGGAAGAATCGATTAAAAATTTTGAACGGCTTACAAGAAAAGTCGAATCGGATGAGGATCCAGAGGAGATTTCTGAATCTAGTGATGATTCTGAGGTTCCTCCAGGTAAGCTTAAATAATTTAGAAATATTTAAGTTAAGCATTAAATTGTTTAAAGCATTGTTTATTAAGTAAGCGGTAAATATGATTTCCGCTAAAAGTTTACAAAAAACTGAGTTATTAGTGAATCAAATGATTATGAGTTGGATTGAGAATAGATATCAAGTCCACAAAATTGGATAGAGTTACCTTGTGAAGGTAAATATGCGAAAATGGATTGTCTAACCTTCTATGTTGCAATGAATTATTGTATAGATCGAGATTGATTCTCAAGAACTTGAAAATTGTCAAGTTCATAGTGAGAGGAAAAATAGTAAATTTGCTTGATAATGTGATTAGTCCTTATATTATGTAAAAATTAAGTCACAATCAAATTTTTTAAAATTTAAAAAATTTAAAATTTAAAAGTGATTGAATCAAAATATAAAGATTAAATTTATTATTTTTGCACAATACAAAAACTAGTAGAATAATCTAACTTAAATTTAAAGTGGTATTCTTTACTAATTCGCAAAAGTAAATTTAGTCTAGAAATAATTAGAGTATAAAAGTTAATTTTTAGTTTAATTATAAAATATATATTATTTCTTATTATTATTAACTTAAAAAATTTATTGCAAACATGTCGGATACAATCTAAAAAATTTATAATCAAATTTTGACCTAATTTGACTTGCGAGTATTTGGCAATTTTCGTAGAATAATATCAATTTATTTTTTACTACAATAATATTACAGTATTTTTATTTCTCAAAATTATACTCATTTTGATATCAT